AAACATCGAGAGCAAAGAGTCCAATCAGTGGCTTCTAATACCAAATACCTGTTCCACCGATTATCCACTCATGAGTCTCCTTGATTTCCTTTTAAGAGCATGGATGATTTAGAACAGCCTGTGATCATTTTAATATTAAAAAGTTGACAAAAAGTGGTCTGGATGTTCATGGCTATTAGAAAAAAAAAGTGCACTTCACCTGAATACTTAATACATCGGTTTTGCATCAACTGGCAGCTGTGTTCTTTCTCCACTTGGTATACAACAAAATCTACTACCTTAAATCCTCATTCAGGATTACACAGCTCAGCTCTAGGGACAGATGGCTTGTGAGGGAATCTTGGCTCAACTACCTACCAGCTCTGTTACTCTGGGAATATTACTTCATTTCTCTGTGCCTGTTTCATAATCTATAAATTGGGTTTTTATAAGGATTTGAAATCTTAAAATCCAAAAGTTACAAAAGTGATGGTTTAGATAAGTGTATACTACTCATTTTAGTTACAAGGGAAAGCAACACGTGGGGAAGAAAAATGTGGTGTCACCCCATGTCCTACTAGAGCAGACTTGCTAATGATACCTGAGTCCAAGTTCAGAGTTTTACCTGCACTCTGGACTCTCAAACCAGGTCCCGCATATGAGAAGGGGAGGATGCGGTCATTTTAGGTAAATCTTCACTGAAAACTGAAATGTCTGTTATGCACATATGCAGACATTGACAAAGCTTCTGTCCCACAGAAATTCCAGTCTGGGTGAAGAATGACACCCATAAAATAATTTAAGTAGCTAAACGAGACAGTACACGGTTAAATGTCAAAATGAATGACGGATGAGTAACAAAAACAACACAAATTCAGAGAGGGGATTGCAGGACTGAACAGAAGTGGAGAAAATTGAGAAGTGAGAGCCTACGGCAGCGCCCCAGGCTGGAGGCTGTGGGACAGCTGCCCAAGAAAGTTAGCAGACATTGATGCCACTTGGTAAACAGTCAAAAACGACACCCATGTAGCATGGCGTTAGCAGAAACTGGAAACCGGAGGTGGCACAAGATAATTCTGCTCTGGGCACGTGCAGCATGTGCCGATGGCCAGACACGCGTGTGGCGGAAGACATCCAATGGGCAGCTGGAGAGCAGTGACTGACCCTGGGGCAGGATGATAACCAAGAACAAAGTCATAGAAATGAAAGGAGAAAAGTTTCAAGAAGCAGCTATCAACAGCACCTGATGCGGCATAGAACAGACGGAAAAATTCAGCCACAGGAAAAAGGCTTCCTGGTCTGAGGCGGCCAATCACAAAGCTCAAGCCACACGCAGATGAAGGAGAATTTCTAAAATATCAAGCACCCAGCAATGACTTAACCTTTCCCCAAGAGTGGTTTGGCTCATTACTACTCTGGATGATAACAAATTAGATGATTTTACATCTCCTCCCCAAAGCTGATTTTTTTGGCAAGTGTCTATGAGGATGGCTGCAAGGATTATAAAGACGAGGAAAACAGTCATTAGCAAGAGAAAGAGAAGACACGCTTTTTCCAACTGCAGGATTCCAATGCTCCTGGCAGTAATTGATGGCTTTTAGTAAAAGCAAGCAACTAAAGTTCATTAGTGAAGCAATATGAATGACGTAATATTCCACTCACTAGGCCCTGAATTAAAAAAGGAGTCACTCTACCCCCATGCGAAGGGTTAGAACATTTCAGTTTTAAGAAAACCACTTTTAAAATCATTTTTCCATTATAAAGTAAAATTGGACTAGAAAAATGTGAATACCACTCCTGATCAATTCTACCATCCTTAGACAAATAACCTAATCAAATTAGGTTTTTCTCTCTTTTCTTCTGACCTTTATTCCTAAGCACTTTGGAGACAGGACACTTTTGTACCTGCCTTCTGCAGTCCTGTCACAAATACAGCTTAATTCAAAAACGTGTGAGTGAAACTAAAGTATCTGGCAAACAAATTCAAACATCCTAAGAAAGTGTCAAACTCTGCCTTGCCAAAAATCGCCAGTGATTATACATGTGACACTGAAC